TTAAATGATATACCATGAAATTCATGCACATTAAATCAATATCAAATGTAATAAAACTGATAATGGTGAACCAAAGAAATACTTTACTTTAAGAGCATGCTTATCCCTGTGTTTGGGATAGTACCCACAAGTTAGAAGAATGCATTCATAAAGAAAGATTCTTTTAAATGATCAAATGTTTCATCATGCCCTTTTCGACAAGACCAGTAGTTCTGTCATCATTGGAAGTTTATCAGAAACTCTTCTTTCATAATACAATTAAGTATTGAGATCAAAATACTTAACTGATGCAGGTTTTCTGAATCTTCAAAATACTATGTCTCTTTCCTTTGCTTTTCAATTTCATCTTTGGGAAAACGGTATCAAGGGAGCAAGATTTGATGAATTTGTTCTTGGTGATGAACTATTGGATGTGCAGGTTCTATGAGTGGACTTATTGTCATGATGAACCAATTGATATTAATTTTGCCACTTATTGGGGTGTTTTGATAGTACTTTCTGATGGATGCTGTGGCATATCTGTTGTACTGATGATCAATGTTTTGGTCTATGAAGACAAATTTGTGATGCACAACTTCATCACAAGAAAAGCTGTCTAGATGCACTTGGTTAGTGTCCTTCATAGGTGTATCCCTTTTTGAATCTTCAAAACGATCTTTACATTTGTGCTTATGATAAAGCATCTTGAGCATAAATTGCATTTCAGATATCTTGGTTGTGATGTGACATATGAGAAGGACCAAGATATAAATCAAAAGGTTCAAAAATTTCAGGCTATTGGTGGCACAATTCAATGAACACTTAAAGGAAAAACAAGACAAGATACACAGCTAATATTTTATATTACGACCGTCCCTGTTTTAATGTATGGCAGTGAGGCATGGACAATTACAAGTGAAAACATCAGAAAACTGCAAGCAGCAGAAATATTTGTTATGGTCAGTCAAAGGATGTACAAGACAAGAAAGTTTTAGAAATGAAGGCATTAGAAATGAATAGGGAACAGAGCCAGTAATTCAGAAAATAATAAATTACATATAAACATGTAAATCACACACAGAACTATTGCCAAAGGAAAAGTATCAAAACAAATCCTGGAATACCAGCTAGAGAGATTCTAATCTATAGGGCACCCCTAGAAACTATGGAGGGAAAACGAGAGACCGGAACAGGCTATGTTGTAATCCATTAAGTAAGAAGAAGGAGAGAAAGTGCTTTCTCCAGCACTTGTTCAAAACATATGTATCATAACCTGTTTCACCAAGTTTAAACAAAACTCAAAGCAAACTAACAATTGTCTTAAATAGTTAATTTTATAAAATCAGAGAACACAGACACATCTTCATAGCTTTGCATGTGTGACTAATATAACAGAATGTAGATTATATGAAGCAGACTACTCAGCACAAGTATATTCGCTGTCTCCACTTAACTGGAAAATCATAATATTATCAATGACATCATTATGAGATAATTCTCATAACTTTTGGATACTGCCTAATATGTTGCTAGAAAAAGGACAGGAAAAATTTAAGGAAATAATACTTGTGAAAATTTCTTAAAAGATCATTTACAACTGCTTCAACAAAATGTTACAATTGAGTGGCAAATGCCCTGGTTTGACTAGTTGTGCACTGCCAGACCACTAAAATTGAATGAATATAAAACAAATGGTTTACACACGAGATTATTATTGTTATTTCTTTCATTCTCTTATCACAGGTTTCTTTCTTTCCCTGGTACTTCTCTTGAACCAGTAGTGACAATCACCATTCATCATCATCAAATATTTTGGAATATTAATTTGATTCATGATTGCAATTTTCCTTCAAATTAACATCGACTCCATACAGGACTGGTGCCCAATGGACCAGATAAAGATTAATGTTGGTACTGGCATAGCTCAGTCGGTATAGTGACTGGCTACGGACTGGGCGACCGGGGTTCGATCCCTGACGGGGGCAGAGGATTTTTCCTCTGGCCTCTGCGTCCAGACCGGCTCTGGGGCCCACCCAGCCTCCTATCCAATGGGTACCAGGGTCCTTTCCCGGGGGTAAAGCCGGCCGGGGCGTGATGCTGACCACTCACCCCCATCTAGTGCCAAGGTCAAGAATGAGTAGGAGCTATACCTCCACTCCCCCCAAGCGCCTACATGGTGTATAGTGGGACAGCTTTACTTTTACTTTTTTACAACTAGAGTTGTTTCCTTTGCTAGGAAAACTAACATGATTCCTTTTGAGCACAATCTTTGTGGTTCTTGTATAAATAATATGTATGTGGTTAAGATTTGAGAATTATTCATTGATACTAAGTTTTTTTCACAATAATGTGGACTACATATATTCACAAGCTGTCGAACTGTTGGTTTCATTCATGCAAAAACTTTTTCATCTTTTTATGTTATATTTTTCATCAGTGAGATCTAAACTTCATTATGCTTCTTTTGCATGGAACACTCTGACTTCTACTGATGCCAGCAAGTTAGCAGATTTTTTTAGCCATGTTACAATAATTTCTACCCTCAAATTCATTATACAGTAGTTATGAAAATGCCTTAGAACACCTAAATTTCCATACCTTATATACTAAGAAGCAGCACTTTGATTGTTAATGTTTTCAATGGATATAAATTCTGCCCTTCCTTGTAGTTCATATGAAACAAATGCAAAGAAAGGAAACCACTTTGCCTCATAGCAGAAATATTTTTGAAATTTCTTGCCCTTACCTCTATTTACAGCGTCACATGTACAGCATGCATTGTGCACTTTCTCTGCTTCAGAAACTGGTCATCAGATGTAAGGCATATACCAAAGTTTACATAGTAATTGTTCTTATCTAACTGCTGTATGGTACTGTATTATAACCATATGATCTGTGTATGAAGGTTTTACTTAACATTGATTCATAGGTTTAACTTATTTAGTATAATTACAACAGATTTTTAAGTCCATTTTCACACCTTGTACTTTGCTTATTTAGTTCTCATATTACAGACACCTCCTGTAGTGCATTAATTGTCTGTGTGCTTCCTTGTTATTATGTCTGCATTGAATTGAATACTATCTTTATTAAGGAGATCATATAACTCTGTGCTTGAATATACTGCTGTGCCGTTACATGGTGCAAGTCAGTTTAAAAATCAACTAATTATTTTGTAGGTGTAAAGCTGAGATTAATTATATGAATATTAGACACTGAGCTCTGATGACGTATAACTCTTCACTGTGTTACCATTGAGGGATTTACCAGAATTCCTGGGTCAGCAATTTGACAAACCTAAAATTTGTTCTGTAGGTTTTGAGGTTTTCATGGTGATCACCACCATCTGCATAAATATTTTAAACGTGTTCTCACTTCCTTTTTACTTGTGTGCCAATATTTTTCATATGAACAGACAGACAAGGTTGCAGTTGATTCTCCTCATTAATGATACATTCATGATTTGACCTCACAGGAAAAATACATTCATTATTGACCTCACAGATGAGAGAACTGGGGAGTTTCCTGGGAAATTTCTAACTAACTCATTACGCTACTGAGATGTCCCAGGGTGACCTGGGACATCTCAGTAGCATTAATAGTAATGTTCAATTTACCATGGACATAGACCAGAGAATATCTCCTATTTTAAGATACAGTACTAATATATGTGAGCAATGCAGTGTTTCATTTGGTTGTAGAGTTTGCACACAATTATGTACCTGAATGTGGCACCACATCACCATCTTGTCAATAAGCAAGATGTGCTGAATTCAGAGTCAGAGCAATTTGGATCTCAGCTGTCTTACATACTGAAATGGAAGTACTACAAATAATGTTTAACAAAATGGCTACACCAGCTATCAAACTGCTAAACCCTTCATACAATTCAACAAACATTCTACATAAATTCAAAATCAGAGTCTGTTCTATCTTCAGATATCAATGAGACTGTGGTCATGTCCAGAGGACAGTTGCTAAGGTTGACTATACTTCTGATAATGTTTGCTGATGCCTGTTGAAACTGTATTATGTAACTTCTGGAATTTGTTGCACTATCTAATTTTGACTGCTTGCAGAACATAGAAATTTTTCCCAAATCTTATCTACAGCCCAGGCCTCTGATGAGAGATTCAAGGACAGTTGAAGGTGGGTCCTGAATAGTTCATGTGTAATCCCATAGAGTTTACATTACTTCTCAAACTGCAGCAAATAACATTTCTGCAGATGATGGTATTTTTTATGTTTTTTTTAGAAAACTGTATTTTGCTGTAGACTGGTGATACATATATAAATAATATATATTTGAATAAATGTTCTGTTTACTGTCATATTATTCACTGAAGTGATTGGAGAACAATGTTTGAGGGTTCAAGTGTAAGTTATGAACAAATGTTATGAGGTTGAATACAGGTATCTGTGTACAAACACTTTTTACATTTTTCCAAACTGTACTGATCAGCACATTTTATTTTGGATGTGCTGTTCTGATATTATAGACAAATGGAACGAAGGTCAGAAAAAGTTTACAACCAGTTTAACAAAGTACACTTGTACATAGAAAATGGGAGTAGAAGCTTGCCATTTAATATCAGGGTTCAAAAATAAGATGACCGACTTCTGGATTATTGCGAAATTTAGTCTGGTAGAAGTTTACCGACGTTTCAGAGGTGCTCTGATGATGGTTGCAGCAAGCATGTTTTATATTAATACTTGCCGCCGGAGAGCTCACTGAATATTAGTTAACCTTATTACCGACTGACCTAAAGTACCGACGCTAACGTTGATATGTATATCCACTTCTCCTAGATGTCAGTACAGTTTAACTCTAGTTGGTATCTGTGCTGTATTCGTACGTAAATGCATCCCTATTATACTCTATAGATCCGCAAATTAATTAATTGTAGTCAGATGACAATAGGTAGTGGAAAAAGTTATAATACCAATTCTTACTATTATAGAGATTTTATGTAATATAAGCAAGCATTTGTTATATGGTTGGTAACAATCGATGCAGTCTGCGGATGAAGACCTATTTCCGGTATTTGACTTGCACATTTGTTGGTTCAGTCCGTTCTGTACATTAAAGAATATTGCATTTTGTTTTTGCAAACGTTATAGGCTGGTATATAACGTCCGAAAACCACGTATTTTTGTGCTTCCTTTGCGCATTTGGAATTTGATATTACATTTTAAAGCAAAAAACTGAACGTCCAGTAAGCCGTTAATAAACTCGCTCCGTGTATTACATTAGTTCAGTTCCAGAATTTTCTTCACAAAGTGCGAGCCTATCTTCTAGTGTGCATTTCGTTCCCATGTGCTAGAAACTTCGCCGGTGAATGATTGGTCGCACTTTGAAAGCAGAGGTAGAAGAAAAATTGTTTCGTTGTTGTCTCTGCAGCAATAAGTGACTGGCAGTTGGTGCGTTGTATAAGAGGTTCACTGGTATATGTAATTGCAAATGGCTGCTATGTCAGTGATTGGCATTGATTTCGGTAATGAATCCTGTTACGTTGCTGTTGCAAGAGCTGGTGGAATAGAAACAATAGCGAACGACTATAGTTTACGTGCCACACCGTAAGTATTGATTTAAGTCCTTGTAATATTTAGCATTTAACGCACCCATCTAAATAAATTATGCTTTGTTATGAATCATTGTGTCTAATACATATTCCGTATAAAATGTGAAGGTTATAGTTGTGAAAGTAACAGCATTAGTTTTCATTTTAGTATGATGATTCATACACAGTTGATTTGCCTTTGCCGCAAAGGGTCCCGATCTTAAATAAGTATTAATACGGTAGCCTACATACGGCTGACCTAATATGGTTAGGTCAAGTTGAAAGAACGATCATTTCCACCTACAGAACGTTTGATCTTTTTGGTCATGTTTGTAGCAGACCTTGTTTGTTTGCTCATTCAGCTGTTCTCAATATGTCATATTCCATACATGCTTTCCGTGTGTTCCGATCTAAGAACATTGCTGTTGTGGCTTAGTGAAACCATAATTTTATGTAGACAAGGGCATTGTGCAATATGCAGGTAACAGGAAGATAGCATCAGAGATAACTGGTTTTATGCCCCTGCATTTGCACATTGATTGCATATTAATAAAAATGTTACAAGCAGAGCATGAAAAATTGTAAAATATTTCTTTCTTTTTCAATTCTGGGTTATTTTAGGTTGTATAAGACATGTTAAGAAATTAACTGTTACTGTGACGTGTTGTGGTGAGAGCAGCATAACAATGTCAATAAACTGTTTAGTTGTCTGTTTATTGACATTGTTGCGTCTGGCATTGTTGTAGAGAGTTGACTGTATGTGCAGACCTCTGTAACTGATTTAATTTGACATGAATAAATCAGGGTTGACAATCCAGGTCGCAATGCCGACCCATGTTACAATACATTGGCAATTATTCATTTCTTAGCCATTTCATAAAATTTTAAATATGGTTTAAGAAAAGTGTCATTGTAATGCCTTTTAAGAAATTAGTTTTCTTAATGCTATCACAGAATTATTTGTTGCAGCATGACAAACTGTGCTGGTATTTTGGTATGTGTAAATTTAATAACATACAAGTGTTTTTGCTTTGGCATTAAGTTTTTTAGTGGCATCCTTGTTCAATTCTAGTGAATTGTTGAATAGCAATGGTTGATCCTCATGTACTTTATAAAGGTTCCTAAGATTTATTTTGAATGTTGAGAAGTAGGTTATGAAAATTAGAATGGTTTGGGTTAGTGCTAATATTGGTGAATACCTCTGCAACCAGGTAGAAAGGTTAGGCAAGTTGATGGTCAAATTCATCTGTAGGTATAACAGTGTCCCCATACTGTAAAGCTGTTCCTTGTGTCAAAGTACCATAACAGGTTCTGAGACAACAGAGATTATCTTCTGTTTCATTAAAATCAATTTTGTACCTGGTGGCCTGGAAGGAAGTGACAAAGTAAGACAATATAAAGTATCTTCTGCTGTCTGTATGTATATCACTAATACACAGGCTGTTGTGGAATGAAGTGTACAAAGTTGGGAAAGTTGTTCGGCTGTATATTGAGGAAAAATGTTTATATCAGCTTCTATGCAATTTTTTATAGCAGTTACAGACTTTAAAGAGTAAAAGGTGTTATTGGTAAAATCATTTGTTGTCAGTTCATTTTGCGAGAAGAAAATGTGGCAAGTCTTCTAAGATGGCATGCACACATAAATTTCATTGTTTGTTAGATGTAAGTTTACATTTCTTAAATATTTAATTCATTAGGTAACTTCGTATTCTGAAGATTGTTGGTAGTAAAGAAAACTTCCCAATTACATGATTGATCTGATTTGAGGTATGCATCTCAGCATGTCAGACAATCATCTTAACAGGAACTCTTTCCTCGATGATTTCTTGGAACTGCCTTTGTAAGCATTAGAAACATAGGCTGATATCATGTCCATTATGTATATACAATTTTCACTTCTCACCTTTTTGATGGCTTCCGTAATGATTCACTTCATGATAAGTCAATAAATGAATGTTTTATCAGTCGCAGAATTTGACACTTGTTGGTCTTCAAATGTGACTTCTTATGAAGTAGTACACAAGTACTGAGCTTTCTTGATGCTATCATTTCACAAATATTGTCAATATACGAGAAGTATGCAGAAACAAAAAAGTCACATATACTATTTTCATAAAGTTAACACTACAATAACTCTGGAACCTTCGATTTATATTATTTTACCTTGCAAATGTAGATCTATTAGAGAACATTTAGGTAATATTGATTGTGTTGTTATTGTTAGCTAATTCGAGTATATATTATCATTAAAACTTATCACAAAATTACATTTATTTCCTAAACTAACCAAAAATGGGGTCTGTACTGTGACATATCTCAGAATTGTTAACAGATGCAAGTATACAACTCTGTACACATTATCACCTACAGAAGAATTCTAAAGAGTGTTAATACTGAAGTTGCAGCTTCAAGCAGTCCTCAGATAATTGAGCTGAAGTAGAATGCAATTTTATTATACTGCGAAAAAGCCGCATTTGCATACCTCATTTAGTCAGGTCTGTTTGCTCTATCTCTTACTTGCACACACACACACACACACACACAATTTGTAATTTCTGTCACAAATGTGCAGATATATGGTAAATATGTTTCCTTACCTAAAGCTTACATAGGTTCCATTTTATGTACATTTATGTGTGTGGTTAATATCTGATCAGTGAGAACACCTACTCCTGCGTTTCTTCTCAATTTGGGATAGTAACTCTTGTGAAATGTTGTGTTTGACCTGCCTTATTGTCGGGTGCATGTTTGACAAGCAGAATGTTATCTTCGTTTCAGCAGCAGTCATCTCTTAAGGCCAAAATAAGTTAAAATTTGGTCCATGAGTCTGCATGAATTTTACATAGGACATATGGTCTTGTGTCTTTCTTGAACAGTACACAACCACCAATGACCATCATACTCCCAGGCAACATGTGAAGAGAGCATAATCATTTGAAATAACAGTATGTCTGTGCTATTTACTCCATTTTCTTTTGTTATTTTGTGTGTTGTGAAAGATAGAGACAGAAAAGTGGCAGCTGTAGTGATTGTCCTATAATTTAATGGCTGGAAGTTATACACTTCAGTTCTTAATATTGCAACTTCCATATCAAATTGATCTGCAATCTACTTCTCCTTTGGACATAAAATAATGTAATGTGTTTGTTGCTGGCTGCAGTAATTGAATACTTCATGAGGTGTTTGCAGTGTTGATAAAATTATATCTGTTTTGTATTGAGCTGCACTGCCGTAACTGAAAAATAAACTTCTTTGGGTTGGGAAATTTAGTACATAGGTGTTATCTTTTGAACTTCATAAAATTATCACGTATTTTGATCAAGGAAGTCGCTATTTATGCAGAAGGACAAAGTTTGCAGATATTGATGTTTGATATAAGCACGGAAGGTACAAAGAGTTGCTTGTTTTTTCAATTCTAAAGGGTTTTGATGATGGTAGATTAGACTAGCTCTGTCTAAGGGACCCAACAGAGTAGGTACCTCTTACCTGAAGAGGGGGACAGAACCAGCCTCCGAAACATCGTGGGGTTTAAAGAATAGACAATGGAAAACGTCCTGACAGCGAATCATTTTAAGTGCTTGATTGTTTTCCCATTGAAAACCCTGCAAGGCATGTTGGAGTATAAATTAAAAATTCTCTGAGAAGTCTGTCATAATTATGCATTGTTCTGATTGTAGGTTTTCTTTTGGCTGTTATCGCGCTTGTTTGGCAGTATAATGATTAATCAGTTCAGGTATCTTTGACACAAGATTTGCAATGTATTTGTCAGGTTGCTGTGATGAGAGTTGCTCTGTCTGTTACTACCCACTGTTTGTAGTCTATTATTATATGATCAAGCTCATTCGTAGTAATACTTTGTGTTTATGCATCAATATATGAAGTACACACACCATATATACAATTCTCATTCATATTGTTTCACACACACACACACACACAAAATCATTTCCTCAACCTGTTGTATGTACATGGTGCATGTACCATAAGCATCAGCTAGAACATACCACTTTGGTCTTAATTTTAGAAAAATTTGGAAAGTCTACTGCAATATCTGGGTGTCTGAATTTTATGTAGGGTTCTTTGAGGTTGCACAACATTAACTTTTCTGTACTTTACCTTTACCCAATTTCATAGAGAGTGTCAGGTACTGCATAATTATTGATCTGGAGCAAACACATGATGCCCATTTATATAGGAAGGAGTAGAGGGAACAATCTGTTAGTCGGTAGAATGATAAATATGGTGGTGTGGGGAAGCAGTAAGAGGCAGGCAAGGACTTGTGCCATGAGGACACTGCTCATCTGCTAACATTGTTGGTGATGCCTTGGTGGACGTTTGAAGCCAAATTGAGTTCAGAGTTGAGTAGTAGTTTAATGCTGAATCTCGAGTCTGTTATTACCATATGTCAGTGCATCTTTGGTAGAAATAACAAGAATATGTTGGCTGACACACAAGTAAATGAGGTATGCAAATTGGTCTTTTTTGCCTGTTCCACCTTATTGTCTGAGGACTGCCTGAAAGCTTCATTCTCTTGAGAGTTCTTTAGTTTAGAGACGTGTGGCTTCATAAATCTCATGTTTTGACCAGATTATGAAAACAATGACATTTTTTGGTAAGTTTTGACCTAAAATGCTCCAGTGAATTGGTTTCCAAGAGTAATAAGGCAAATATGCTTTATAAGGTGTCTGCAGTGGCCACGCGATCTGAGGCGTGGGCCTTCTGCTGCTTGGTCGCTGGGTCCGTGGGTTCGAATCCCACTCAAGCCATGGATGTTTGTCCGCTTTTTTCTGTGTTGTGCTGTCCTGTGTACAGGTAGAGGCCTTGCGACTGGCTGATCCCTTGTCCAAGGGGTCCTACCAAATGTCTTTAGATCGAGCCAACAAAAAGTTGGGACCCGCAGTGCTCAGGCACTTGAAGAATGGGTCGTTCACAGTATCCCAGTATATGCTGTATAAGTACTGTTATAGATCTACAATTTGAGGGTAAAGACAAGTGCCTGCAACTAAGAATTTTAGAGTTATGGCTTGCTCAACCTGGCAAAAAATTACATTGCAACTATTTCTATGCAATGTTGTCAGGAAATAATTCTACTTTCAAAGCTAATTCACAGTACACTGCACGTACTAATTCTGAAGGGACTACACTTTTTGCATACAAAGGTGTACAGAATTTGGTTGTAATTAAGTGCAACTTATATTTTCCAAACTTGTTGAATTGAGATGGAATGGTTGTAATACTAAATGTTAAATGAAGTATGTTGATCCTGGGAATTATAAACAGAAGTGTTTCTGCTTCAGCATAAAAGGTACTTAACAAAGATGTATTAATCCTTAAAAGCCAACAGTAGCAGTATGTATCACCTGTTCTAATAACAAGTCTGCAGAATGCATTTATTCGTTTCATATGATTCTCAAAGTGAACAGTGAATATTTTAATAAACTGTATAGATGACTATGAGAATAATTTCAGAGAGAGTTCTCGATGTCAAGGAAGAAGTATGTGCCTGCTTCATCGACTGGAAGAAGGCTTTCGATCGAGTAAAATGGAAGAAATTAATGAGGATCCTACAGAGAATTGGAATTGATTGGAGAGATAGAAGACTAATCGAAAACCTGTACATGCAGCAAAAAGTCAAAGTGAGACTGGACTCAGGAGACACCAACAGCGTTGAGATAGGTAGAGGTGTAAGACAGGGATGCTGCTTATCACCAATTCTTTTTAACCTGTACGGGGAATGGCTTGCCAAGGAAGCTCTGGAGGGAACAGGAGACTTCAAAATTGGAGGAAGAGTGATAAAGACTGTAAAGTATGCAGACAACTTAGTAGTATTGGCGAAGGAAGAGGAGGAATTACAGAACATGATGGACAAGTTAGTGGAAACAGGTAGAGAGTATGGAATGGAAATCAACATTGAAAAATCAAAGGTAATGAGGATAGCACCGAGAGCAGAACCATTGAACGTTGTAATTGGAAACCAACAGATGGAGAATGTGGAGCATTTCAAGTACGTGGGAAGCATAATCACGACGGACGCCCTATGCACCAAGGAAGTAAAAGCAAGGATAGCCATGGCCAAGGCAGCTTTCGTCAAGAAGAGGATACTTCTCACTAGCAAGTTGGGCTTGGAGATGAAGAAGAAACTAGTGAAGTGTTACATATGGAGTGTCGCGCTGTATGGAGCAGAGACTTGGACACTCAGGAAGAAGGAACAGAAATACCTGGAGAGTTTTGAAATGTGGTGTTGGAGAAGAATAGAGAAGATCAGGTGGACGGATCGAGTGACCAACGAAGAAGTATTGAGGAGAGTCAACGAGCAAAGAAACATTCTGCAGGCGATTACACGAAGGAAAGCTAACTGGCTGGGACATATTATGACTGGTTTTTTGTAATGGAAAAGTGTTTTTTCCTTCCCATTGCAGGCTGGATTTCTAAGTAACCTTTACTTGAGCTTCAGCTTCAAAGTGTTAACTAAGCATTGTTTAAGAAACCAGTTGTTGCTATAGCATAAACTTGAACTTGCAGTTTATTCAAACTGGTATTTTTCAATGAACTGTTCTTCTTTCTTAAAGAAAAGAACAGTAGTTTTGCCCCAATACTATTATTTTAAAATAATATAAACATCTTAAAGAGATTGAAATCTCAAATTTGAAGAATTTGAATAGACACAGTTGAACTTCGTTCTTTGTGAAACATTAAGGATTTGGTGTGTGTACTGTGTTGACATTTCTGTGTAGTAACATTTCTTGTAAAGAATTTGTAGCCATGTTTAGAATATCCCATTGCACAGAATTGCATGCTTCCAGCTGCAATGATAAACCAGTTATTGCCCTGAATTATATAGCATATTTACCATATTTTTTGTTTTACATGTAAATTACCTGACCAGAAGTATATTTTTAAGACCTTATAGTCAGTTCATGGAATTACATAGTTGTCTTCAGAAATGCATGAAATATTTTTCAACAAATGTGTGTTGAGTGTGCATAAACAAGCAAACTTCTATGGCATTTATGTACATCTGGCAGTGGCTAGTGGGAAATATTATGTGCTACTTACTTAATTGTGCAATTTTAAAGTGTCCTTTATTTTATCCTTGCTGAATGTGCTTTTTAAATTAAAATTAATTTAAATAAATATTTTATCATATTTGTTTGTAAATAAATTTGAGTAACATGACCAGCAAAGAGGAAGTACGAATTGTTAAAAATTATTTCTATCCAACATGTTTTATCACTACACTGGGATCATATATTTAGCAATTAGTACAGTAAATAGTGGAAAATTGTAGTGTCATGGAGAAAGGTTGGGCGTTTTTTTCCTCCTTCCCCTCTTGGTTGATTGCTTCACAACAGTCAGTATGTAAAGGATTCGTCTGACTTTCAAAGTGTAATGTTCTCCGTTTTTCAAGTGTTTGTTTTGTGATTTCTTTGCTGGAAGTGTATTATTTACTTATCCTATGAATAGTATGACATAGTAAAAACTTTGCCTTTTCAGATCATGTGTAGCACTCAGCGAAAAGAATCGCATCCTAGGAGTTGCTGCAAAGAATCAGCTGTTAACAAACACGATGAATACAGTCCATGGGTTTAAACGACTTCTTGCTCGAAAATATAATGATCCACATGTAGACAAGGAGCGGAGGTTTCTCCCTTTTAAGATGACTGAACAACCTAATGGTGGCATTGGTATCAAGGTATGTCTATAAACTCTAGAGCAGAAATCAAACAACCCTATGGCTGTGGACACCTTAATGTCTGGCTTGCACAGGAGAATTTAAAAATATAAGTATTTAAGTCATTTTAAATGGTAATGTTTTAGTTTTAATATTACAGGAGGACATAAATGAAGAGTAGATTAGTTTCTTGAATTCCTGTGCAACTGTGGCTTCTGCCTCCATTGTCTGTTGCAATCTTCAAAATAATAGTTCTTTAACCTTAACTGAACACAAGTACCATGTGCTGAGCTTTTAAATTCTATACCCGATCCTACAAGTGACCCATACAGCAGGCTTTGTTCACTTAAGTACTGATTTCACTAAGGGCAAAATGGAGAATATGTCAAATTGCTTCTGATGCATAGCAAGAACAGACTAAGTTGCACACAACCAGCTTATTGATATGTGCATCTGCTAAAGGGATTTATTTCAGGTATGGAGCTGTATGCCACTTTTAATTTCTTGGTTTACAGCCACTCTGTGTTTTTGCTGCTGCTGAATTGGACCTTGCACCAAGTATAGCTCTTCCAGTGTAAAATATTGAATGCAAAGCAGCTGTATAATTAAAATTTGATTGAAAAACTAAGCCTGTTGGATATTTTCTTTGATTTGGATTTGTTGGACTCCATCCTGTAGGAAACAGTATTGAATGGGAACACAAAACATGTGCACTGCCAAAAGAACTAGAATCACAGACTGGTCACCCTCATTCCTAGGTGATACCAAGACATTGCTTGTTTAACTGGACTTTTGAAGTATAAAATGAGCTGAGCTCTGAACAGTTCAAGGTCCACCATGCGTGACCAGCACTACATGGTGCATAGGAACAGGGAGGAAAATATCGAGAATATGTAGCGCGCATGGATGGGACAAGAGTGTGCACCGGATATTGGTTGGGAAGCCTGAGGTGAAGAGACCGCTGGGGAGACCTGGACGTAGATGGGAGGATAATGTCAGGCGGGATCTATGGAAGATAGGAGTTGAAGGAGACTGGATTTTGTTGGCTCAGGACAGGGTCCGGTGGAGGGCTTTGGTTAATTTGGTGATGAACCTTCGGGTTCGGTAAGCCATCTAGTTAGTAACAAAACTGTATTTGTAAAACTACAGAATATTCCAGAGGCAGGCGGACTTTGCTGCTACGCATTAGTAACCAGCAAAACTGACCTACCAAAAGTTGCGGGTCTTACCGAGAGACCCGTCTACGACGGATGCCTGACCGCTAAATCTGATCATCTGAGATGAGGTTCGGTACTGTGTCTTTAACATTTGAATAATAAACCATTTGTTAAGCACATTACTCTTTATTCACTGCTCGCTACTACCACCTGAGAACTTGCCGTCCCCTACTACAGCCCAGCCAGGATCGTCATCTGAGCTCCAGATAGTGTCAACATCTATGATACGACGCTGTAGGGCCGCAGTTGGGAGTCAGGATACAACACTTTTTTTGGAAACTACATTTTGCACGTGCTGCCAGCATGTGCCAAATATAAATTGAAAAGGGGAGATCTAATAAAATCTGCGTATTCTCCATTACTTGGCTGTTGAAGGCACAGTATCTTTCAAAACATAATAATATGAAACCAGTAAAGTTTGTACTAAATGTTTTTCACTATCTGGCAGTATTTCAAAGTTGAAGCCATACAGTTTTTCATACTTCTGTCTCCATTGGTTCATTAGTTAACAGCATTAGATAGCAAGTTAAAGATTTTAGGTTTCACAGGAAAAATTACAAAAATTGAAGTTTTAAACTTTTGGAGGTCGTTAAACCAACTATAATTTTATATTTCTTTCTTAAGATATACTCCAACCTCAGAAGTTCAGGAACTCTGTTACTGCTAGTGAGTGCTGGAAATTAAGTACAAGGCTGGGTTTGCATCCAGTGGCATAATGCTTGTTAAAAAGTTTGTGTACTGTGATTTCTCTTACATTGCAACTGTGCTACCAGATGTGCAACTTTATATCAATTTTTCCACATTGTGCAAATAGTTCACTTATGCAGTCAAGCATGATGGACAGTCACTGTTATATTAGGAGTACTGTCCACAGACCAGGAGAAAAGCCCTGTGGGGGGAAGTCATTTCTGGGGCAGTGCTGGGGGAATGTTTACTATCAAGTGGACTAGAGGGCTGCTGTTGGTGGGAAGTGTGATATGTCAGAGTTTTACACTACTACACACAGACTGAAAACATCAAGCAGTTAAGAGTAGCGTGTAGCGAGCGCAACTCTAATGTGTTCTGTGGGTGTTGTGATAATATTCTAGATTAAATCACTGTGCCACTGTGAGGTAATCTTGAAGCTATACCCATTAGAACACATGAAAGCCTGTTGTCTGTTGTTCGTTCAGTGGTTGTGGAACGAATGCTTTTAGGATGGGTCATCACTCACCGTGAAATCTGAAATCTTGCACATCCGCATATATAAAATTCCTAGCAGGGATTTTCTCCTGGTCTGTGGACTGTAGATAGATTTAATTTAATTATCGTTGTTGCATTCAATTGCTGTTGGATACGATGCATCATTTTGGTCTGACATCTCAAGAATGCTACAGCATAATATGTGAACTTACCCTTCATTGTCATTTATTTCAATGGCACAGGTAATGTTCATACAGTTCACTGTGTTGCATTTGAGTAATACTAAACAACCGCCAGGAAGTACCATTCAATTAGAATCTGTTTTTATGTATACTTATTCTGTTCCAGGTTACATACTTGAATGAGAGTCATGTGTTTTCTCCAGAACAAATTACAGCCATGTTATTCACAAAACTGAAAGATATATCTGAGAATGCTCTGAAGACCAAGGTTAATGATTGTGTTATCTCGGTAAGCCATGCTGTTTTGATAAATATACATTGAACCCTTCATTCACAGTTGCTTCTTTTGGGAATAGCAAATTTGATTAATAAGGGAAATGATAACATTGATATGAGACGATTCAAACTGAATCAAGGGAATATTTAAATTTAGGAAACTTGGCATGTGTCATGCATTCAGTTAATGCTACATTTGTTGATACTGTGCCTGGTGCAGTGAATGTAGTGAAATGTTGCATCATTTACTTGAAAGGATTTTGACTATATTTTTTGGGCCTTTATAGGGATTCCTGCCCTAACTATATGTGATAAGGAGAAACAGTGTTAATGTTACAGAAGGCACATTCATTATGAATATTGGCTGTACTGTCTGAAGTGGTAGCAGAAACTTGTGTCTCGGTCCCCTCAGCAGGGGCTGGGCAGCTTATCTATCTGTATGATGATAAGTGAGCAGAAGTGCCTACAGGAATGTACAACCACTCATTTGAAAGCTAACATTGCCCCAATGACTGAAGTAACAACAGCTTTGTCATTGCTTTCATGAAAGCTCTTAAATTATGCAATTTTTTGTAACCATTGTTGGATGTTAACGTGTAAAAATCTGTATTACCATACTGTGCAAAAGCATATATTAGGCCATGAACAAGCAGTCTTTTATTTCAGTGTATTGTTTCATTTCTGTCAGTGTTGATAATGCGGTTGGATGTGAAATGTGAGGTTTGTGCTGTGAATGTGATTAGTTTAAAGACAGTAGGTGGAGTTGGCTCAGGATCGTGGCTGGCTATGGACTTTGATGTTGCCGGTGTTGAACCTGCGAGTTCTGCTACCAGGGAGTTAGTTATTTTATTTATAAAAAAAAACTAGAATTGTGCGTGTATACCAGTTCAGTAAAAAAATTTCTGAATAATATATGTATAGTATGTATTGTGATTGTAGTATATATGCCTGTGCTTCAGTTTATATCTGTATGAAGATTGGCATTAGCAAACTCCATTTGTATTTGCCTCTTAATTACAAACATATTCAGTAACAAAACTGGCATGGTACACATTACATGGTTTATGTGAACAGCCAAAATAACTGGTATTGGAGCACAGAACATTTTCATGTTGTTCATAAAGTGTCATTACATGATTTAAAAGTTAAGGTTTGGTGTGCAATTAGTGCATAGAGAGTAATAATTGAGCCTCTGTTTCTCATGAAAGTCAATTCTGAATATTATGCAAGATTGATTGTCTCCCTTCTTTGATCATCTGGCTGAGAAAGAAAAACTGTGCAGGAATTTCATGCAAGTTAATGCAACAGCACACACTGTAAACAATTCTGTGGTTGCATTAACTGAAGTGGATGATTCACAGGTTGAAGATGTTGCCTTCATGATCACCTGATTTAAATCTTGATACCTTTATTTGTGGGGCATGCTTAAAGAAAAGTGTATGTGAACAATCCACACACATTAGAAGAATTTCAAGCAGATATGATTCATGAAATTTCTTCTTTTCTGTACAAAAGCTTTGATGTATGTCTAGGAACATATTGTCATGATGTGGGGCATGTTTAGAAACAGAGAATCATCTCTTCTAGACTCTTGTATAAAATATGTTGAACTGTAGTGGAAAAGTAGGATGTTAATGACTGGCTGCTGCAGCAGGTCTGTGCGAGAAATATGCCATGTCAGCTGTGGAATCCAGTACCCTGTGTATTTGTCAGAGGTTAGAGGAAAAGTGAAAATGTAAAGTACATTCCTCCAGTGGGTACAGGTAAAGGAAAAAGTCCAGAAGTAGCACTTTGCATGATCTTGTTCAATTAGAAATGCCAGAATAGTTGTCAGTATTTTGACAACCATAGATGTAAGTATCATGTTGGATAAAATTAACATAATATCCAACATACAGAAAGTAGAACTGCTCAGAATGGAAAGCTATAGTGCCTGGTGCAGTTCCCCAACGATTATTTGATTATTTATATTTGTCTCTTATGGAGTCACATACTTACTCCATTGAGCCAAGTCCTTTCCGAGAAGGCAACAGTTGCTTAGCCACTCAAGAAGTTCTCAGCATTTTATGGAACCTGTAGGTTCATTACCATTTTCACAAGAGCCCACCATTGGTTCCTATCCTGACCCAGATGAATGCAGTCCATACCACCCCATCATATTTATATAAGATACATTTTGATATTATCCTCCCACCTACATCTAGGTCTTCCTAGTGGTCTCTTTCCATCTAGTTTGCTGGCCAAAACCCTGTATGGATTCCTTCTCTCTCTCATGCAGGCTACATGCCCTGCCATCTCATCCTCCTCGATTTGATTAGTCTAATTATATTTGGTGAGGAATACAACTTATGAAGATGATTATTTTACCTAACTGTATGTAGGATAGCTGGTTTTGAAGGTCTTATTGATGGTGGTTGATAAAATCCAGTTTTAAACCACCCACGCATGCTCACTATAAAATGTCACCTGTGATAGATATTTTATTATGTACCGTTTGAAAATTGTACTAGTCCTTGAACTTTTATAGTATCCAAAATGTTTTGCAGAATATGTACTGTGTATGTACATACATTAAAATCTATGTAATTAATTGAAATCTATGCTTTCTTCTATATGTTAGGTACCATCTTTTTTCACAAATGCTGAGCGAAAGGCTTTATTAGATGCTGCCTCCATTGCGGGTCTGAATGTTCTGCGTCTCATGAATGAGACAACAGCAACAGCTCTGGCATATGGGATCTACAAGCAAGATTTGCCTGCTCCAGAAGAAAAACCTAGGAATGTAGTGTTTGTGGATTTTGGTCATTCTTCTCTTCAGGTTTTTGCATGTGCATTCCACAAAGGAAAACTGAAGGTACAGTAACATTCTTTTATTATTCTGTATGATATGGGGGCTGTGTCCTTTTTCACCACATGTTTAGTATGAAAATTGTCAGTGCAAATTTCAGAATCTCTCTCAGAACTTGTTGCATCTGTATGTTGGCCACAGAAGTTGAATAATAAGTAGTGTATATAATATTTTTACTGTGCAGTGTAGTAACTTATGTCAGTGTTGCACAGTTGACTACAGAATTCGGGTATGAAAATTTAGGATGTAAGTATGGGGTAGAAAATTATATGTGGTCTCCTACCAGAATTTCAAGATGCAAGAAATTCAGAAGTCACAACCCTTAATTGAAATCCCAGAAAATAATGTAGATAAATTACTAAGCAATGTATGAACATTTTACAACATATCTTCGGAAGATAAAGACATCACAAGATAGAAGAGGGAAAGTGTAGACAGATCAGAAATGTATATTGGAGAGTAGAGAAAAATAAAGTTGAGTTGTCATAAAATATTCTAAGTAGATAGCAACTTCTTTAGGATGATGGTGGAGTTAAAATGTTTCTGCATGAATTTAGATTTCTTTTACAGTACTCATTTTGACTGTTTGCAAATATGTCTGGAGTTCTTTATTCTGATTTATACTCAGATGCTGGCAAGTGCTTCAGATTCTCATCTTGGTGGACGTGACATTGATACAATTTTAGCAGAGCATTTTAGCAATGATTTCCAGACTCGCTACCATATTAACCCTCGCGTCAGTCCCCGTGCTTATCTTCGACTCCTTATGGAAGTTGAAAAGCTGAAGAAACAGATGTCTGCCAACTCTACTAAGCTTCCAATGAGCATTGAATGCTTCATGGATGACAAGGACGTTCATGGTGATCTGAAAAGGTGTGTTATTGTGCAGTCGTAAGTTATATAATTAAATTAATTACAGGTTGGTACAACTTGAAAAACAAAGGTCTTGTGACATCCTGCAGGAAAAATTATATTTAATATAAGCAAAACCTTGTACATATTCACAACAGAGAAATTGTATTTATTGGAATGTTTTGTAAGTTACAGATATATCTGCTTTCTGTGTGCGAGGTACTGGTCGGCTATGGATATATCATTTTCTGCTCAGGAAGAGTTAAATCTGTCAATAATAATTTGTTTAATTAAAACTGGATTCTGGGACTTACTGATTTGGCAATATGAATATCAGGCATACTAAAGTAATTTGTTGAGACCATATTTTGTCTTTATTTATCTCAAATTTTGGCCAATGTTTTGTTATGCTCACAGTATGAGTGTATTGTAATCATATATTGAGGTGCTGCTCATACATGTTGGTATGTATATAAATAATAACAAAATAAAATGTGCCTTTTGCTGTTTTGTCTAGGGCTGATATGGAAGAGTTATGTGGCCAATTATTTAGAAGATTTGAAGAAACTTTGCGCAAATGTTTGGAAGATTCCGGTAAGTATTCATACCAGGATTGCTTTTATCCCACTTTAAGTTACAAGGGGACCTTGTTGATTGTTATCCTCCAATTTGGGTCCAGTTTTGAAGTACGGTGGACAGCCATACCCAGACTTCCTGGCCAAAATATTAGGTGTGGACACTCCACCATTTCTTTGGAAAAAGTCTTGTGTCCTGCTTCAGTTTGTCATGTTTTGCAGTTGTGCTACCATCTGTGGGAAACATTTTAAATTGCTAATAATACCTTGACTGCCATCTGTTTACAGAGAGCATTATACCGGGTCTCCAATTTATGAGGTTACGGTCGTGCTTACATTGCATTATCGGCCGCTGCTGTTGACGTAGTCACGCGTGAGTCACAGGCGAGTCAGTTTCGGTGCCGCTAGTAACAGCGAACTACGAATATTTCTCGTCACTATTACATGTTATTACATTAATTGTTTTTACCTTAAATCACAAAAAGAAAATATTTGACAATTTCCCAAGAAGAGCTTCGTCGAGTATTTCGAAACATGTTAACGAGATGTGAAACTTGCTTGCAAGCACAAGGAAGTCACTTTGAACATCTTTTGTGATTTAAGGTAAAAACAATTAATGTAATAACATGTATTAGTGACAAGAAATATTCGTAGTTCGCTATTACTAGTGGCCCCGAAACTGACTCGCCCGTGACTCACGCGTACAAGTCCCGCCTACGTCAACAGCAGTGGCCGATAACGCAATGTAAGCACGACCGTAACCTCATAAATTGGAGACCCAGTAGTATTTGCATGAAGCCCTACTTGTATGTACTATGACCCATGCTTGTGCCTTGTAATCAACTAACAAAATATTTAATACCTCATGATGTTTTTAGAGTTCTGCCTTCAAACTTTCAGTGTATGTCAGGCATATTAACTTTAATTTATTTTCTTCAGAATTTTAAAATTGTAATTTATTGAAAAAATTGAGGTCAAATTTTAAATTTAATGATGTAGAACTGCTTTATATTTTAGTGTGGTATTGAAGTTTTCTCATATGACATTTTGAAGTTAATTGCTAGGTGCTTGAAAATAAGCCCAATTTTAGCTTTGTGTGTCAAGTAGAACCAGACGTAAAATCAAATTTGTTATCATTTGTGAGGCAAGTTTTCCCAATTTTGAAAAAAATTAAATGACAGTATCTCCTGAAACAACTGAAACAGAGTTACGAAAGTTTGCATGCATTCATTTCTAACGGGTTGTAGTTTTGTGATCCAAATTTGAATAGAATCATGGAAGGTAGGTTTGTGAGCAATGTTTGACATAGAATGGCACTACAGTGCATTCATGTAGAGCAGTTTTGCTGGGTCAGCATGTTAGAAGGAGAAGAATATTCCAGGTGTTTGTTTTAGATTGATATTTACTGTTAACAGCAGTGTCTAAGAATGTATTGTTACAACTCTCGTGTTTGAAAATAGGACATACACTTCACTCATGTGCAGTGGAGCAGATTTATTTGGTGCAGTATGCTTTTGCATTACGCAGTCTGTCATGACTGGTAGCAGGGAATATACTATCATTCTTTGATTTCCTTTTCAGAATAGTTCAGACTCACTTTATTTAAAAGTGCTGAACTTGGCAGACTCACAACAGTCCAATTTATCTTGCATGTGAAGGTTTTGACTTCACATGTAATAGCATAGAATCACTTTAGGTGGCAGGAAATGTATACTGCACCACTGACATTTCAGTAGGATATCCTGTTTTGATTGCAGGATGTTAGTTGGTTACCTTATATGATTCTGTTCTTTGATTTAAGGACTACGCCTTGAAGAAATATATGCCGTGGAGATTGTAGGAGGTTCAAGTCGTATCCCTGCTATCAAACATCTCATTGAAGTTGTTTTTGGAAAACAGCCAAGCACAACTTTGAATCAGGATGAAGCAGTATCAAGAGGATGTGCATTGCAGTGTGCAATGCTGTCACCTGCCATCAGAGTGCGGGAGTTCAGTGTTACAGATATTCAGAATTATCCCATCAAACTTGTTTGGGATGCTTCTATGGGAGAGGATGGGTTAGTATTTAACAAACTACTAACTGCAAATGTAGCCTGATTTCCCTTTCATAACTTGTGCATGTTACCCTGAGACAACCTCCAACTCACAGGACTGCATAAAATCCAATATAAGTGACCACACGCTGGATGAGGAAGAACTTGGAATTGTTGTGAATGAGTCTTACTTAGTTGTTTAAAGTGCAGTAAGATAGTCCTATGTTTGATTTGGAGGGAATTAATGGTGACCATGAAGGAATATTATATGAATAGACATTTCTTAGCCAAACATTTTCAGTGTGCAGGTTTTTAGGGTTATTTACGAAATAATAAAATAGGAAATATAATTTCATGCCACTCGGACTCACTTGACGTTTTCATAGCATCAGCACTGTAATCCTCTGTTAACATCTGCAGAGTTTCACTCATATTTTGCATAGCTTTGAACCAATCTTGTTGTTAATATGTTGCTCCAACAACCTGTTACTCATTTTCCTTCAGGGATGATAAAAGCAAACTTACGTGCCTCTGCCACTGCTGTACTACCAGTGTCGTATTTCCTTCACTAACATATGAGATGCATCCACAGACACATAACGTACTGCATAGTTATTGGTCAGATAATACTCAATGTGACATACTGATATTCCAGGAATTTAATTGTGATTTTAAGTGGGAAAAAGTTGACAATTTATATATTGAAAATTTCATACTGACAGGCCATTTAAATACCACCACAGTATTAGCTTAGTGAACATTTAAATACTGGCTGGAAGGGTTAATGTCGCTGAAGGATTTTATGGTTTCAGGAGCACACTGCTTCTTTGGACCATATTACAGAGCTTCGAATATCTGTCCTCTGATTTGATTATGTGCTTGTGTATGATGGGTACTAAGTGAGCAGTCCTTTTGGTACTTTTTTGTGAACAGTGCGTCATTGCCACTATGTAACTCATTCATCAATACCAAATGGTGTTTGTGCAAACCTGTGAGACATGGAACTCAAAAGATATAACTTGATTTTACACACTGAGACATTCTCAGATGACAAAACTTTCTTTAAATGCTTTTATCTGTGTAGAGATTCTACTATGAGAACTTCTTCTAGCATATATATCTGATGCTTGAAGGTTGTAAGATTCTCATACCATTTGTCTGTCTGTGCACATGCCCATTTGCCCGTCCTTCTGTCCCTGTGGATCCATGAAAGGTGATATGTAAATGTTTCATCAAACTTTTTATTATTTGGTGAAGAGCATCTAATAATATTACTTATGTAATTGTCTTTGATTGTAGCATAAGACTTAATCAGTAACTTTTTTCTTTGTTCACAGTGAGATGGAGGTTTTTTCTCACAACCACCCTGTTCCATTCTCAAAAATGCTCACTTTCTTCCGCAAGGAACCATTTTCACTTAAAGCATTTTATGCTGGCAACATTCCATACCCTGATCCTTACATTGGTGAGTATAAATAGCATCATTTTGGACCTTATAACTCTTGTCACAATGTGCATGCATACGGAACGTGTCCAGTAAACATGTTGGCGTTATCTGTATGGTACCGTGAATTGTTTTTATTGGGAAAATATAAGACAAATTTGAATTCAGGCAGGAAATGCCAAACATAAGGAAGTTACATTGAATTAAAATCTTTAATATCTTTTGAATATCTTAATTATTCAGGTACTGATATCTTTATGATTCATGTACTAACATAGTTTTAATATCTATGTATATAATAGGAGAATGCTCTGTCTTATGTTCATGTGAGTTAATCATGAATTGCCATGGTAGCGTTAAGGGATTTTCAGGCTTATGCTTGCATGACTGGCTGTGAATCCACAGCCTCCTATATCTGGCCAATAGTATTTTTCAATACATGTACTGTTGTTCTTGATGGTTTTGTTACATGTCCATTTGCATTCAGTATGAAGCAAGGAGATTATATGAGTTTTTTCCCTTTCTTCTCCCCGATTGGCATGAATGTTACTTCCATTACTTTTCATTCTTATTATGTTCATATTGTGAAGACATATTGCTTTCTGATATTTAGGCCAGTTTATCGTGAAGGATGTCAAACCTTCAGCAGATGGTGAGAGCCTAAAAGTAAAAGTGAAAGTACGTGTGAACTTACATGGTATCTTGACAGTAAGTAGTGCATCACTAGTTGTGAAACAGGATGCTTCAGAACAAGACTCAAATGAACAAGACAGTGTAGGATCAGAGGCAATGGAGACAGAGGGACAGAAGAATGAAACAAATGGTTCTGAAAATGAACAGCAGGCACAGGCCGAGAATTCACAGGAAAACCATGTTGGTAATGAGGTGAGAAGTATTTCCGCACACATTTACTGGTATATTACCATAAAGAAACAACACAATACATCTGCATTAAAAGGATCATCTGTTGTTTAATGTTGTTTAAGGAAGTAATTAATGTTTATTCAGAAAATTATGAAATTATAAATACACACTGGGAAGAATGCAGTATTGTTCTCCATGGTGTTTGTTACCATATACCTTGTCCTTCCGGTGTACACTGTGAAATTCCACATGTGCTGAGCTACTCTCACACAGTTTGTACACTTTCATCCAAAACCTACTCCTTCCAGTAATAACTGTGTCCAATTCTGGTACCCTTTCCAGAGAATGAGAAATTCGCCTGCACAAATATTGTTCTGGTGTGTTCATGGAGGCAACCATTTTCTCAGATTGTATAGAATAGGAAGAATCTTTCTTAGCTTTTATCCCCCCCCCCCAAGTGGACAATTCCATCGAAAAGAGCATTATCTGTAAAATGTAAAAATTTCTATAGGTGAAATCTCATTCCACTGATTCCTTTTGAAAAGTACAGTGGTCAGTGCTTTCTCTTTTGGAGAATTAAAGCCCATTTCACAGTTCATGTAGAATTCTTGTAATGACAATATGCCAGTGAAAGTCTTCATTTCGTTTGTATTTGTGTTGACCCAGTCCTGTACCGTAAAATGTGGTTTCAAATTGGGATGAGCTGCAACAAACTGACTTACAAATTAGTTTGGTCTGCACTGAAAAACATAATTGAGAACATCAGTTTAATTTTTATGTCAGCTTTCACTCCATTATCACTTTCATTTTGAAGTTTAGGCTCATTTTTAGATTCACTGTCACTATCATCCGTGTCAGTGTTACTCTAGTCATCCTCTGTAGTGAGAGAAACATACATTTCACAATAACGTCCACCATTTTTCAAGCAATAATATATGTAGTACAAAAAAGTGCTTAAGTCCAGCTATTACAACGGTACCAGTTCCTGCAATGTAGTTCATCATACATAAGAGGTGTTAGCTAGAGAATTAGCGAGATAGTCTTACATTTAAAATGTTAACACATGCCCATTGCTGTTATCAGTTATGGTGAGCTTAAACTACAGGCTTACTCCTGCAGAACTGTCCATAACGTAGCATCCTCTTCTATGCAGAAATTTTATTGTTCCTGTTTTTTCATGGATGGACTGAGGAAAACCACAAAAAGTAAAACAGAACAGACTGAGATTTGGACTTCAGTCTCCTGAATGTGAATCAGGAATTCTGACTGCTCAACAGTTGTCATCTTGATAATGCTAATTAGAGATTAGACAATCATCAACACAATGTACAAGTACCAGTATTCAGATATACCATTTACATCCACAATTAGCTGAACACACTAATTATTATAAATGCTCATATTAATCCCACTGATGGATCCATTTAGTACTGGATTCGCTACAGTATGAAGTAATGGACATATGAGTAAGGTTAATGCATTTTCAATGCTACTGTTTTTGTTTCAGGATGATGCAGATAACCAGGCTACTTCTGAAAAAAAGGATGGAGCAAAAAAGAAGAAGCAGCTCGTGAAAACATTGGAACTTCCAATTGAAGCATACACGCATGGATATTCTCAAGCAGAACTGAAAAATTACGTGGAGTTGGAGGTGAGTAACAAGAGTCATGTCCATTGGTTTGTCATTTCTAGCTTACTAATGCAACGCGTGCAGAAGATGTTTTACTTCTTGCATGTGACATGTATAACATTAATTAATCTCTTATTAACATAATTTCTTGGAATTTCCCAGTTTCTGTGTTGTTTTTGACATTGAGTCGGGCAGTCTAAAGACTGGGGTCACTGCTTTGAATCCTAATCGGGGTATGGATGTTCGATCCGTTTTCTCTGTTTTGTCATATGAATGTACGAGGTGCTGCTGAAAAGATCCCAGACTGTAGTTAAAAGAACTGGGTAACACTAAATGGCTGTTCCATTGTCTCCCCTTCAAAATAGTTCTCTTGCAAGATAGTCTGTCTTGTCCAGTGATTGTTCCATTGCTGGAAGTACTTTTGGCACCCTTGTTTCATATTTACTGGACAGCTTAAATAAATTCCTTTATAGTGTTCTTTCCATCATCAACTAGTATAAGGATTGGGCCATTGACCCGTTCCAGGACAGTTGTTCAAGGCAACTTGTCCTTATTAGCCTTGAAGAGTGCACTATAATGTTCTTTATAAATTCAAAATTTAAGATCATGCATGTGTCTGCATTAAGAACAAATTTGTTAAGATCAAGGAGAATTTCATCAGTTTTTCTTAACCTATACATAAAGAGCAGTGACTTTGGAGTACTTCATTAATAGATATGTCCATACTTAAGATTTTTTTTAAATTTCATAACCAGAACAATGCTTAAGGTGTCAGCCAATAGTGCATGTACCTTAGTATGAATGTAATTTGTTTTGTTTCTTTTGAGATGTTTTAATGATAATCTGAAGCCATGCATTAGCAGATCAACAGAGGTATAACATTTCAATATGTTGGAAGGGTTCTTGTTATTCCTATCTGTCATTATCACACCCTAAGTTTGCAGTCTTTTCTGTTGAACAATATGTTTCAGCCCATTGTAGCCATCATCAGGTTCAAATATATGCTTGAAGTCATTGCAGTGGGATTATCATTTTTTCCAGTCACCCTTTGTCACAGATAATGATAAAATTGTAGGTTTCAATGTTTTGTTTTAAATTAAATCAGAAAGGTTATTATTCTCCATAAAATATCCTAGTACATTAGTTGTCTGATACTGAACAAGAATGGTCACAAAAATTACTGATTTATGGTTCTTTTGTAAAAATAAGCTCAACTTATACTGTAAGATTAAATGTACAATTCTCATTACTGGTCACAAAGGCAGTAAAAATGATGTTATAGTAGTTTCTCATAAAGATATGAAGTTTTCATGTCCAAAAGTTTTGAACTTTCCCTCCCTACACCATCACATGTGGAAGCAGTAATAGGCTGCCCTTGTTTTCTTTCCTATATTGCCTGTGTGTGTCTGATCTAATGTAGTGAAGATATTCTTTGAGTTTATAGAGAAAGAGCTGTTCACTCTGCCATTTGACAGATTTTTTTTACCAAAGTTGTAAGTTAAGATTTAGTTGTCTGCTCCCAAATTAGCAGTACAATCACAAACAACTGTTGTATTTCATTTCATATTATGGGTCCTGTAATCTTATTCTTATTGCTTGAACCTAATTGTTATGCCATGTGATTAGCATGGCCACTCTTGTTTCATCACACCATGCTAGTGCAATGATTTTGTAATTCTGTCTGCCTTTCCATCTTTACTGTTTTCAGAGTTTTGCATATTGTTTGTCAGGCTGTTGACTAAGAGAACTTTCTGGTTCCTTGAAAGTTGAGGAATTTCTTTACTAGCTCAGCAACTCATATGTTCTCTATAAGATGTCTGTGCCATGGAATTGGTGTATTGCACCATCTGTTCTGACAATTTTGAGTTCCTCTAAAATCTATTTCCAACCTCAGACCATCATCAGATAAATGCTTATACAGTTGGCCAGAGAACTTCATTAAGACTTACTATTCTCTGAGTTGCTGAAGGATATTTTTTACATGTGTTTATTTTTTATAAAGCATTTTCTTCAGTTACTATTAGCATCTCAAGAAGTATTCAACCTATGACATTAGTTACACAATTCTTTGATTGTGTGCATTTTAACATTTTAAAGCCACATTCAATATGTATCATGTAATGGAAGTTAAGAATAACATTACATGTTTATTTGTGAGATTATATTTATGCTACTGGTGTTCACAGAGCATTATTACAAATGTAGATTATTAATTTGTAGTGCAAGATGGTTGCAAGTGACCAGCAAGAAAAGGAGCGCATAGATGCACGAAATGCGTTGGAAGAGTATGTCTATGAACTTCGGGAAAAATTAAGCAGTGATGAGGAATTTACAACGTTTGTCAATGAAAACGAACGTTCTACACTTGATAATCAGCTGCAGTATCTGGAGAAATGGCTGTATGAGGAAGGAGAAGAAAGTGAACTTCAGATATTCATTCAGGAATTAAATTCACTTAAGGTAAGCTGATATGAGTGTTGCTTTCCTTACTGTGTCTGCAATAACAGTACTACAAATGCGTGACTTTTTATACACTAAGTAATAATAGTGAGAGCAGCCTCATTCCACATTTCACTCAATTTCTCTTCATTTGTATATTTTTGGTACCAGTCTTTAATATGATTTTGTATAATCCTGTAATATAAAATTAGGGGGGGGGGGGAGATGATAAATATATACAGAGTTATATGTGTAGTGAACATAGTGGTAAGTATCTGTCAATCATATGTCCTCAGAAACTGTTTTGTTTCGCAATTTTACCATTGTTTATTAGTCTGTGTGTAATTATTTTGAAGACCCTATTTTTGTGGTTTTTATTCCTCTGTATGAATTTATTATCACCTATGTTTTGTTCTGTGCAGGTGCTTGAATAAGGATTATCCTGTAAATAATTGACTATTGGTTTTGCTTTATGTGTATACAAACCTATGGCAACAAGTCCATTTTACAACACTTTTCATGGTCAATGTGATATGTTAAGTATAGGAACACTTTTGTTTGTAATGAGTGCTCTTTCATTATTTTTTTATGTAATATCCACTGTTGATCACTTTCTGCAATTGTGTCTGCCAGCTTGCTCTAATCTTTTTCCATAATTGCATAGAATAACATTGCTGTGTGGCTTAGTCACTGCTACTATTCTGTGTCGGCCTGCGTCTTACTGGCAGTACATTACAATCACTAGTGATTACTCTCAAATGGAAAGTAAATTTGTGTACTAATTTAGTTGTCTCATGCGAACTGCAACACAGATTGCTTATTGGCATTTAAAGTTGATATGAAATATTAGTTTTGCTCCAGAATCACCTCTCAGTCAAACTGGTGACCAGTCATGCTCATGCTCAATAAAGACGAGGCAGTTTTTACCATTCCTGATGCTTGTTATAATGTGTATTCATTATAACAATATTTTTCTGAACTTGTGAACGGCCTTAGAAAAACACTTATGCTGTAATTTTAACTTTCCTCCTATATTATATAATATTGACATACCATATTTTTGTGTAATGTTCTAACTCTGGAACATGTGGAACACATTCCTTGATAAGCTGATAGTCGCTCACCTAATCAAGAAATTCTCAATTGTCTATGGAACCTGAAGGTTCATTGCTACATTTACAAGAACCCACCACAGGACCATATCCTGATCCAAATCACTGCAGT